AGACCAGAGCTTCATTCTAAGAACTAGAAAAAGTAAAATAAAAAAAAAAGCACACAAAGGAAACCCCGAACCCTAAAGACCAAGACATGAAGGCAGGAGGACTATTTAGGGGGTGGAAGGGGGCTTGGGAGGGGTAGTAGGAGAAGAGAAGTTAAAGTATGTGTGATTTGAGCAAATTAAAATATGACGGCCATGTATGAAAATGCCACAATGAAAACATAGTTTGTATGCTACCTAAAATAATAATACTTTTTAAACCTCAAAGAACAAGTCTTCAAAAATTACCAGTGTGATGCTGATGGTTTGCCCCAATGCTACACTGTTTCTTAGTATGTGTAAGGCCCTGGGTCCTTCTGAACACTGAAAACAAAGAGGGACAAATGTGGCGATATTGGAAAAGCTTGTAAACTGCTATGAAGCAAGTTTCATTGTTCGTGAATTAAGTTTGCAGTTATAATGTTGGAAAAGGAAAGAACACCCTGGTACATTTCAAGGGGGAAAAGGGATTTTTATGAATGTCAGGCTAGCCTTCAACTAAACAACCAAGGATACACTTGATGTTCTGATTCTTTTGCCTTTACCTCCCAAGTACTGAGGTAATAAGCATGTGCCACCACATACAGATTTTTTATGAGGTGCTGGGACTTGAACCCAGAACTCCATGCATGCTACACAATCACTCTACCAGCTGTGTTATTATCTTCATCTCTAAAGTGATTTGTAAAAGGTTTATGCATTGCTATTTTATATGTATTGGTGTTTTGTCTGTGTAGCACATGCATGCAGTTCTCCTGGAGGCCAGAAGAGGGGGTCAAATACCTTAGAACTAGAGTTACAGGTGTCTGTGCACTACTATGTGGGTGTTAGAAATAGAACTTGGATCCTCTGGAAGAGCAGCCAGTGCTCTTAACCACTGACCCATCTCTTCCGCCTCGCCAACATAATTTTTTAAAAAAGAAAAACATTTTCACTTTTGTCAGGTATCACTCCATAAAAATTATGAAATTAACATAAACTTGAGGCTTGTTTTTAATTTTTATTTTTAAAAGGAAAAAATTGGAGTTAAGGGGTTGTAGGTTGAACCAAAATACAGTACATAAAAATCCTCAAAGAATAAAATTACATGAAAAAAATGCATTTGGGGCTGGAGAAATGGGTCAGCAGTTAAACATCTGTACAGCTTTTGAAGGTGACCTGAGTTTGGATACCAACTCCTAAGTCTGCAACCTGTAACCCTAGCTCCCAGGGTACCTGAGGACTCTGGCCCCCTTGAGTCCTTATGCTCATGTGAACATAGCCACACAGAGATACAAATACGTATTTAAAAATAAAGTAACCCTTTAAAAATTACATTTGGGTCTGGAGAGACAATTTGGTGGTACCACATGACTGCTCACAACCATCTCTAACTTCAGGCCCAGGGAATCCAATGCCCTCTTTTAGCCATACGGGACACCAGGTATGTACATAATGTGGAGACATACATGTAGGCAAAACATTCATACACACAAAAGTAAGATTAAAATAAAAACACAAAAATTATAGTTTGACAAAAACATAAAATAGGTAAAAAAAATAAGTAAAGTCCTATACTGGAATATTCTACAGCAATAAAAATAACTATATTTAAAACTTTTCAAATACTATTGGCTATAAAAAGTCACATAAGAGTAAATATTTTACATCATTTATGTAAATATTAAAGACACAAAATATATTTAAAATTTTTTATGTTCACTGAGGAACAACTTCCGGAAAATATATCATCTTCATAAAAGCAATTACCTCTGGGACAGAAAGCAAATCAGATTGGCAACCTGTACCAAGATGTAGCTGTTATGTTTCAGTTTTTCCTAAAAACAAGAGGTATAGTTCAATAGTTGAGGATGTACTTAAGCACATGTGAGGCTTTTGTGTCAATCTCCAATACCTAACAAATAATCAGCATCTAAATAAAATATAAACAAACTTCAGCAACTGTTAAACCTACAGTGAGTACCTGAGTGATGGGATATCATCGACTATTTTTGCTGTCTCAAGCATTTCATAATTTTTAGAAGAAGGACTACTTAATGTTCCAAAATGTAGAGGGACAGGAATTATGACAGCACGTGTGCTCTGAAGAGGGAGGTCTGCTCAATTATAGCTTTTCTTGTAGTCAACTTAATTTGCTACTTTATAAAAAATTAAATTAAAAATTAATACACATTCATATAATCTCTGAAGAAGATATTCATAAAGCTAATCAGTATGAGTGTTATTAAGGTACTTGAATCTCATTGAGTCTCTTATGATTCATATATTTTAAAAATCATTTTTAAGTGTCTATTTGGTAACACAAAATGCATCCAACCTAACTCTTCTATATAAAAGAGAGCATAGCTGCTGAAGCATCAGAAACCAGTCAGCCAAATTCAAACACTCACGGAGGATAGAAACTCTGATGCAAGTTCAGGTCTCCTGCCTTCCCTTTAGGCTTCTTTTTAAGTCTAACAGAATGGTAGACACAAGTTGTACAAATGATTTTAACTAATCAAGATTTAACACTTATTTTATAAACACAGAAAAACTGGAAATAAGTCTTCTGTTGCTGGCTTAGTTAAGCTGAATAAATTAAAACCAAGTCACTAACTGGAATATCATTAGGTTATTAAGGCAAAATTTAAAGAATATTGGATATGTTTTTTAAAAATTCCCAGGACAATATTAAGCAAACACACACTAAACCTATAAACATGGCTAAAAATCATGTCTAAAATCTGGGGTTATATGGCTAAATGTGATGAATAAGAGTATCATATTATGATACAGGAAAGGGTGAAATTTTCATCTTTAATGTCTTCAAATGCTAGCTTAATAAATTATTTAACCAATGTTTTAAAGTAATTATATATATTCTCAAAGATTATCCAAGTGATATTCCCTTTCTATAGCTAGTAACATTTAGATGTATTTTACTTAATCTTTTCCATTATTCAAATTTCATTACTTTAAAGCAGAATACAAGTCAAATTCAGTTACCCGTGCTCTGAGCTAGGTAAGTGAGGGAAGTTCTTGGTAGTTCGCCCTCCAGATCTGGTCTACTATTAAAGTACACTTGACAAGAATATTGGTCTTAATCAACTGAGTAACTGAGTACTATTCTCTGAGAATGATTCATTGACACCAGGAACCTAGGCAACTCACTGAGCTTCCCAAGTCCCAGTGTTTTACAACATAGAAGTTTCTAGATTCAAGATACTCTATCTGAAGCCAAGTGTCTGGAAGATTCATCTGGGATCTGGGATCCACCATCCCCTATATCTTCAGCCTTTTGGAAAACTGTGCTTGGTACAGGGTTCTATCTTTCAGAGGCAACCCAAATCCTGAAGGGTCCATTTTACTCCTAGAATAAATAACATTTATTTCCCCAAGGGAGAGAAAAACTCAACACTTTTTTACATCTGACACAGTACAAAACACTTCATATACGTGACATAGATCGATCAAGCCGTCTTCCTGGGTACTGCTGCAGAGGCACACAAAACCAGTTTCTGGAGTATTCCAGAACGATCTGTGTTTTTCATAAATTCAATAAAGGCACACAAAAGACTGAAACCCAGCGGTCTAAGGCCAGTATTTTTCACAATGAAAGACAATTTATTAATAGACCGTGCTCTATATTTTTTTAAAAAATGGAAAGTGTCGGATTGTATTGAACATAATATTGATTTTACCAACATGTTTCAATTATATTGTCTTTGTGTTAGTACAGGTACAGCATAAACTTAATTTGGTTTTTTTTGTTGTTGTTGTTTTTAAAAGTATTTTGCTACTTAGTCCAGATTGGCCTTGAGTTTGTGATCCTCCTGCTTCAGTCTAGCGTTAAGAATACAGACCTACTCCCTCACTGTCAGGTCTTAAAAATATATTTCTTTTTGTGAGTTATAGCCAAAAGGTTTCCAAAACACTGAGTGGCTATTACAGATTTAGGATTAATGCACAAAGAGACACAACAAAGACAAAACAAGCAAAACAACTGAGATAGCAAAACATATATAACACACCGCAGAAGTATCTAGAGACGCAACAAAATGGAAGACATTTCAACTGTGATCATCCACGGTGATAAAAGGAATTGTGGTATTGCTTATTTGGCTAAAAAGCCAATAATTTAAGTATTCCACTCTCATATTTTCCTTATTTTACATTTAACAATCAGAATGAATAAATTACTAAAACTTCATTATCACTTCCCTTTTGCTATATGCGGTAAGTTATGAAAAGCAGAGTAGCTGAGACAAGGGCAATAGTTCAGCACCTTTGTAATAGAATTCCATTCCCTGGATAACAAAAAGTATTCATTAAAACCACCCTAGTCTCCTGGCTTACAGATCAAATCATATAGCCAAGTAATTTTGTACCATTCCTTCTTCCTTTCTCCTTCATTTAAAGTCAAATCAAGCAATTCCTGGGAAAGTACCCCTAACGCGAAAATACTCAATTCCCGATTGGTGGCTAAGAGTCTGAACACCTAGGCTTCCCCACTCCAAAGCAGGCGAAGCTGGGCACCTTGCCCAGAGACTTTCCCGGGACTTAGGAGGTTTGGTGGCCCCTGACTCTGCCCCACCGGAGCATCGTGCTAGCCGAGTCTCCGTTCTCCCGGGGGCTCCTGGACAGACAGTATTTGTCCCCTCCCCCGTAGGGAATAAAAAGCGCAATCCCCGTGACCACCACCACCGCTGCTGAGACCACCACCTCACGGGCACCTGGTGAGCCAGTGCCTAGTAGGGACAGAGGCACAACACGTGTCTCTGTCACGGGAGGGGGCGTGGAGAGCGAGAGCATCACGGACACCAAAGCTTCTCAACCGTAGCCCACGAGCCCTACCCTTTCGCGTCCCCGGCTCCAGATTTTCTTGAAGGTAATGAGTTCTCAGATCCGGAATTCGCTACCTGAGAGAGGGAAAAATAAGCTGGATGTAAAAAGCCTGCGGAGCAAAGGCAAACCCGAGCACTTACCTCAGAGGTTAAGCGAGCTCGCTATCCCGTCTGGCAAAGTAAACGCGCAAGCCAGGGAGAAGCGGTCAGTGGCGACAAGGGGGCGGGCCCGGACGCGGACCTACTCCAGCAGGAGCAAGCCTACTCCCTGGAGCTAGCCGCGACAGATCCAGCAGCTTAACCGGGGTCGACCTACTTAACTAGAAAGGGCGGCCATAGACCCTGAACGGGACGCGATGGGATTGGCTGCCTCTGGTATTGTTTCAAAGGAGACTCTTCTGTGATTGGCTAGCAGACTCAAGCGGGAACTCGAGGTGGGAGGTGGGAGAGGGGTTTAACAAAGTTGTTACCCAGGCAACAGAGCGACGCACAGCGAGCGGCAGTCTATTTTCGGAGCCTAGGCTGTGACCGGAGCACTGACCAAGGTGAGGAAAATTGAACCTTAGGAGAGGAAAACAGAGGTCCCCGAATGCTGTGACTAGGGAGTATTTAAAATACTTAAGGACTCGGTGAAAGAGCCCTCAGAAACCCCATGTTGGTCAAAGTAGGGGGGGAACGTTCCCTAAGTCCCTCCCTTCTTGACACCCCGAAGCAGTATGTTGCTTCTAGAAAAACTACCAGAGAAGGGATGGGTACTGACCCTGTAGGAAAACAAAAATGAACATCTAAATATTTCCCAATTTTCCTTTCTCGGGTCTAACACATTCTCAATGAGTCCCCCCCCCCCCCCCATTTCCTTTAAAATGTGTAAATTGCTTCCTTGTAGGTAAGTCTGGGTGGTCAAAGTTGAGAGACTTACTGTACCTTCCGTTTTACGTGAAGAAGCGGTATTAATTCTGTAACAGTGGGCCTTGCTTGGGAAATGAAGTAAGCATGTTCTCTGTAAGGCCCTTCAGACAGGAACATAAAAATAAAATGGCTCCTGCCACTTGCCTATGGAACAGTATTTCTGTTGGAGAGAATTTCAGCGGCCTGAGAGTTCTGAGGACATTATTTATGTCCTCAAGGAATGAAGAACATTCAAACCCGCATTTATTGGGTCCGAATATAGGGCACAAATCTTACATGTGCCTTAAAAGTTCTGCTACTCAACCAAAGGCTATACTTTTAAAAATGCACACAGCTGTGATAAAAATTGAACTGAGGAATGAGAGAGAATCCAGTTTGAGCAGAGATAACAATCATTATTTCCAGGAGTTTCCTTTTGTGGTAGGGATTCAAAACACGAACTATAGAAGTAAACAAAACCAGCTTTTTGACCTTAGTAGTACATTTCAAAGAGCTGAAAGAAAAATGACCAACCAACTCTCTTTTTATTCACAAGATGAATATGAAAGCAAGAAAGAACAAATTCTTGCCAAATGTATTTAGCTTGCCTGAAATGTGCTATATAGCACCCCACCCAATCTCCCTTTACTATTTGGTCCAGACTGCCTTACACTTATGACCTTCCTACCAGCAACCGCCCAAGTACTAGGATTTCAAACATACTACATAGCTTTTGATGGCTCAGAATGACCCTATAAAAATTAACTTTTCCATCTCAGTATAAAGATGCACTTTCGAACTCGTGTAGTACCAGTTACTAGGGAGGCTGATTGTGAGGTTCCTTTTTGCCCAGGAGTTCAAGATCACCCTGGTCAAGGTAGGAAGGCCAAGTTTCAAAAACAAAGCAAGGCAACACACCTTTCAAGGGATGTTAGAGACTCCATTTTTAGTAACCTAGATAAAGTACAGACACAGGAATTGTCAAATCAAATGAGGCTTATGTTTTTATGTTTAGGTAACATAGCATCACTAAGCCCTATCCCTATGCCCTCTTTTTGGTTTTCATTTTTCATTTTAAGACAAGGTCTCACTAAGTTACCCAGGCTGGACTTGAACTCTAGCCCAGACTTGCCTGAACTGCTTCAGGCTTCTCAGTAGCTGTACCTCAAGTCCTGACTTGCATTTATGTTTCTGAAGGATTCTAGGTACATACTAAAATTTTTTTCGTTAACTATATTTTAAGTTTGTGACAGAAACCTTGTTCAGCTCCCATAGTTATGGATGTTTTTATGGTAGTGAATGATAGAAACATAAAAAAGGAAACTATTTTGGATATTAAAGACATAACGTGATTATTTCCTATTGAACCAAGGACCTCTGGCATGCTTAAGAATACACCTATTGAACTACATCCCCAGTCCCTAACTAAATTAGTTTTAGTAGGCAGAGAATCACTGATGAGTATAGTTGTCAAAACATTTAGTTATGTGTGTCTGAGTGTGGGTATGTTCACAAGAGTGCAAATGCTCGTGGAAGTCAGAGGTATTAGATCTCCCTAGAGCTGCAATTACAGGCAGTTTGAGCTGTCTGATCTGGGTGCTGGGAACGGAAGTTAAGTCCTCTGAAGAGCAGTATGGAATCTTAACCATTGAGCCATCCGACCAGACATCCCCACCCCCAATAAGGTTTATTGTTTTCTTCTTCTTCTTCTTCTTCTTCTTCTTCTTCTTCTTCTTCTTCTTCTTCTTCTTCTTCTTCTTCTTCTTCTTCTTCTTCTTCTTCTTCTTCTTCTTCTTCTTCTTCTTCTTCTTCTTCTTCTTCTTCTTCTTCTTCTTCTTCTTCTTCTTCTTCTTCTTCTTCTTCTTCTTCTTCTTCTTGGTTTTTTGAGACAGGGTTTCTCCGTGGCTTTGGAGGCTGTCCTGGAACTAGCTCTTGTAGACCAGGCTGGTCTCGAACTCACAGAGATCCACCTGCCTTTGCCTCCTGAGTGCTGGAGGCTTAGCTCCCGGCTAAGTTTTTAATGGCAGGAATATGTTAGTGTGCCATAATAGAATACTTACCTACAAGCATAAGGCCATAGATTCAATCCTAAACATCACCAAAAGTAGACAAAAAACAATTAGTCAGAATATTATCGCTAAATTCAGACATGAACAGAGATGATGTTTACTTTTGCATTCTCAAGAGGATTTTCCTGTCGGAATTGCTAAATAAGGCACTATATAAATAAAGTTGTAGAAGAAATGCTAAATTTATTTAGAGAGTAAACAGGTTTTGAAATATTTGAAGTCATTTAGTCTTCAACAGAATTCTCCTTGGGGATATATTTTCACCTATTATGTCCAAACAGGATGCTATCTGACGATTTGCTGTTGTTGCAGCACCTGGGATGAAATTCAGGACTTCTTCCACATTTGGCGAGCGCTCTACCCTTGAGCTACACCTCTAGCTACATTTGGTGGTTTTTCATTTCCTGATTTCATGCACTGTATGCACTTAGTAAAATATGTTAGAACTGTTCTCTATACTTTATATATTTAGTAAAATATGTATAGTATACTAATTTAACTTTCAGTTTTCTCCAAGCAGTTAAACAGCCTTTCTTATTGATGTTGTGTATGGAGGCCAAAAAATAAATAAATTAGAAAGAATGGTACTAGACTCCTAAAGTCTGACTTGATCTCAAGGCTGTTAACAATGCCTCAGTGCCATGGATCTGGAGCCTTCCTGATAAACAATTTTAGTCCCTAACTGGTCCCAGTGTTTTGGACTATCTGTTGTTTTAATTGGTTAGCAAGATATCCCCCAACTATCTTTTTATCTCTGAGGGCTCTAAAGGCTCAGATTGCTGTAGGAAAATTAAAGCTCTGTCTGGAAGTACTTCTTTGGGTGTTGGCCCGGTCAAAATAGAATGGAGAGTGAAAGAAAGAAAAACCACACCTCAAGAAAAAGATTCTTTGCTCTTTCTCACACTCTAGCCCCGCTTTACTGAGAATCAAGCCCAAGGCCTCATACAGGATTTACCACAACCCCTAATCTTGGTTTACTTAAAATATGCCTGTCGTAGTCAGACGTGGCTGGAGGGAGGACTAGGGAGCCCCAATTTTCACTGCTGAACTAGTTGCTACTGATGATTCAGGCAAGGGGGACTACATTGCTTTTTGTGTACCCACTGATCACCCTACCAGCTCCAATGGGTAGTTCAAATTCAGTGGTCACACAGATGGCGCTGGTCAAATGAAATGTTTAAGAAAACAAAACTCCAAAATCATGAATCTGGGAAAGGAACTGATAGAAACAGGAAAAGTGAGGGTGTTGAGGAGAAAGGACTCAGAATTCATTGTGTAATTGTATGTATGAAATTGCTCCAAAACTTAATAAAAGAAGTATAAATGCCACATTGAAACATAGGCTTAATAGCTCTAGAGATTTTATACTTAAAAAAACATCACCACACTTGTCTGCCCAAGTAGTCTAGTAATTAGAGAATGTACTCTAAGATTCAAAGGCAGCAAGTTACAGAGTACATTATTAAAAAAATTTAGAACACATGTAGGAGAAAAATGTATGAGAAAGGCAGAAAAAAATTGGCCACTGGGGCTATATCCTGAAATCAGTGATTGTCAGACTCAACAGTGTGTATCAAACATACAAATAAAAAAAACTAAAAGGGCAGGTTTTCTTTCTTTTTTAAAATTATGATGATCATATGAAATGAGCTTTGATAATTATCTTTTAATTTAATATTATTTTTAATTACTAGACTTCTAAAAATGTTGGTAGAATTTTCATTTTCATTGAATTTATAACTTTTCAATAATTTACATATTGATTTCTTTTTTGATATTTTGAGCTATTTAATCATTCACAAGTGATTCTTTCATTTCTTAAATGTATCAACAGATTCATCAGTACTTACTTGCTTACAGATTGTTATTACATTTGGTAGCGTGAAATATTATTTTATAAAAGTGTCCATTGTATCATGTTTTGGCTCCATTTAGCTATAATGTGAGTCAGTGTGATTTTATGCGAGCATAATTTAGAAGTTCAAATATGTTTCAGACACATCGAACTATTACTAAGAATTGTGTGGAGAATTGTTAATCACAGACCTGTACCCAAGATGCGGTATCCCTTCAGTGCAGTCACTTTGAGTAGCTAACTTTTAATGATGTTGCTTTTACTCAAATTGCATTTAAGACTAGTATTTTTAGAACTGCCTTGAGGCCTATATTATATTCTTTTTAATATGCTCAAAGAAGTAAATCTTCAAATTTTGATTGTGTTCATCTAGATATATCTGGAAATCACTCAGAGACAAATCTTATGTGTAATCAAACTGAATGATGCTGTAATGACATCTATTTTCTTAGTGCTACATATGAAGGAAATGCCAACAGAAAAGAAAATTTCTAAAATATTTGGAGCATTGATGGTATAATTTACATCAGTATATAACTTTCCAAGGTTACTATTTTGAAATGCCACATTCCTATGAATTTA